TCCCTTGGTTTTAAGGGTTTAAATTCAGAGGAAATCCTCCTTTTTTCAACATTTGAAGTATTTAAATGGAGGGGAAAAGGGGAAAAAAAGAGAGAGAAGGAAAAAATGGCGGGAAGCGTGAGGGGGGAAAAATGGCCATAAACGTGAGGGGGAAAAAATGGCGGGAAACATGAGGGGGGCTAAAAATGGCGGGAAACCTAAAGGATAAGGGGAGGGAAATGTGAGGTAATTAGCACTCATGTATTCATTAATTGGGGATTTATGAACACCACGGTGCAACAAAGAAGAGATATTACCATTTTGAGAAAAAAAACTGGCGGAATGTTCCTCAGAAGATTTTTCAGGTCTGAAAGTTCAGTCTTGCAAAAAAAAAAGGGTAAATTGGGTGTTTTTAAGAACTGTCTTACTTTTTATAGGCATGTCTTTCTCGAGAGGAATTCTGTATTAGCAAACCTACCAATAATTTCCTTGGATATGTTCCACAATGCAACAATGCCAAGTGCATTTTAGCAGCTGGGTCTTTTTCTTGTGCCATCTTGCTAAACATTGGTTGAAATCCAAAAAGGCTTGTAAGTACACAAGGGGATATGTAGGTAATCCCATTGCTTTAGGTGCAGACACTTACATGCTCAAAGATAAAGAGCGTTATTCAATAACAGCCTGAATCAATGAGACAGTGACCAACCTCTCTCATCATCTTCCTGAGAGGAAAACACAGCATCAAATAACAGCTCTAAAACACCTGCAGCAGCTCTAAAAGTCCATTTCCCATAGCTTTGAGAAAGATCAATGTTACTTGGTATAAGTTTTTTCCCTCCATTCTTCCATAGTCCCTCTTCTTCCCAGTTGTATTCTAAACTTTTGGGTTAATGCAGTCCTCTAGAGGCTAAAAAGGGCTTGACCTGGTATAAAAAGCAATGTTTTTCCCATGTAATAAATATTTAAAACGTTTTATCAGTGTAAATAAATGCTAAATTCTGTGAGCCCAGGGAATGGCATTAACGTGGTGTTTTGCTTGCTGAAACATTTATGGAATCAGTGTCAGCCAGCAGAACACAGCCAAGAGGATTTTTTTAAAGGTAAACTGAAGGGCTTTTAAAATAAATACTAGGAGTTGTTTAAGATCTTCAATTATTAACAGATGAAAAGTGTGGGCTGAAAAAGTGCAAACAATCCCTCTTGTTGCACTTTCCCTAATCCCTGTGCAGTTCTCTGTGTCCAGCCTGCACTGAGCTCCTCAAGGCAGATGCTGTACCTTAACAGATGTCTGGAGAGAGTCTAGCCCACAAATAAGCAGATTTAGAATGCCAAATATTTTAAACCCCTTTATTTTTATATTTCCTTCTCAGAACTTAAGCTCAAGACTCTGTGTTTATGGTTGGCCAGTGCTGACATTGCCAGCCTCTGCAAACAGCGCTGTAAAAACTTGGCTCTGCTGTAGAAAGCAGTTATTGGCATCAACTCCTTTAAATCCAGAGGCCAGCTCTGCAGTCTGATCAGGTCACCAGGCACTCTGATTTAATTATGATTATCAGCTGCACAGCTCATTGCTGGGAGTGCAAGCCTTACCTGCACAAGGGAGAAAAAAATGCCAAAGATATTCAGTGGTGTGAACACCTGTGTGGGCTGATGCCTGTGTATTGCACCATGCAAAGATTGAGAACATACGTCAGCTGGGACAGAGAAATCATTCTTTTATGAGCTGAACTCTCTTTTCTTCCCCTGCACAGAGAAAGAGCCCACAAAAGCATGCAGGATTCTCACCACTGGTGAGAAAAATCTTTGTGACTGCTTATAAGGTTTGGCTCACCTTGATTTACTCTGATCAGGAATGCAGCTGCACCTCTGGGCTTTCAGAACACAGATCTGATGTGTTTTGAAGCGTGTGAGGCTTTTATTAAAAAAGTGACTCCATTCCACGTACCCATGGCTCTTCCCCTGTCCTTCAACCCCTCCTGATCCTCTCTCCCTGTTCTCCCCCTTGCCAGTACAATGGGTTTTCCGAGGCTCTGGGCACTCTTCCTCGTGCCATTCCTTGCAGCAGCTCTTTGTGCTGCAAGTGGCTGCCTGAGAGAATAAAGCAATTTCTGCTTTATTATTATATTATTATTATGCTTTATTTATTATCATAATTTATGCAATTTATGCTGTGTTGCAGCAATAATCTTGGCAGCAACGTGGGGAGCCTGGTGATGTGCATGGATCCCTTGCCTTTCTGCAAGCAGCATCCACTACATCTCCTGAGGGCATTTGTAAAGCTGCCACATAGTCAGTGGGTTTTTAACTTTCAGAAACTCTCTGGATACTTTGATGGTAACGTATTTAAGTTTGCTAATTACTGGAATCATCTGGATTTAAAAACAGGCTGCCCTAAAGGGAAACTGCACTGCACACACATCAATTCATGCTAAAAACATTCAGTACCTCATGTCCTCTTCAAAGCTGGCTTATTATCCTCAAGAAGCTTTTCTCTAATTAAGCTAGCTGAAGGTCCTGTGCATCTTCTGATGGTACATGTTCCCCTCGACCATCTAAACATCATCTCAAGTTTATGGTGCAAACCTTCTTTTTCACAAACACCGCTTCGTTAACACAAAGGGCGTTGCTTTGTGCAGATATTCTCTTCTCTGGACATCTGCAGTAGGCTGAAGCACTTTCATGGTGTGGGTGTTAATGAAGCTGGTTTTAAAATGGGAGAGCTTTTTTGTTCATCTTTTTGTCTGTCCTCAGTACCTTCTCAAGAGTACTAGGTATAACCTTTAATGAATGTTAAAATTAATTAATAATAATAATTAAAAGTAAATTACATAAGAACTAGTATTGGAACTTTTAACCTCATAAGCTTCGCTACATTTTGCATTAACAAGACTCCTAAAGTCGCTGAAAAGGGAGGCCTTTATTTGCTTTTGTAAAGATTTATTTGAAGTAACAAATACTTCAATCTGCAAAGTTTGTGGGTTTTTTTTTTTCCCAGGTTTGCAGCCATCTGTAGCCTTTTAACTTTCTGGTACTGTTGTACCTTGTTTGGGAGAAGGTGAGCCATTGCTTTAATTTTCTGGGGAATGTAACATTTCTGACCGATGTAAAGATCTGGAGCAGTGCTGGTGTTCTCTGCACTTCATTTTCTGTGCGTATTTATAATTAATAGACTGAAAGACGTAGGCATTTTAGAGCAAAAAGGTTGACTGCCTCATGTAAGCACAGCAATACTTTATTTTTTTCCAGAGATATTGCTTATCAAGGAGAGCAGCCAGAGGCAACTGAGCAAGCAGAGTGGCCCACTCTTGTGCAGGATGTTTTGATGCTGTCAGTAACGTAGTTCATGTAAGAGTCTCTGTGAAAGCCAGGATGTTTCATGCTGCTTTTGGATAGCAGCATATCCTTTGGATAGATAACTGATAGCAGATAACTGAACCGCCTGGAGACACCTGGGAAAGTGTTCTGACATCTGAGGGATGTTAGAATCCAGACAGTACTTGCTAGCAGGCACTGAGGGATGCTGCTGGCCAGGCAGCTGATGCCACTTTTTTGGTTGCTTCTGCTGAGTTCCATCAGGACTGTGGAGCAATGGCAGTCTCAGCCTTAGCTGAGAGCTGACAAGTGGATTGCCTACAAGGGAAAGTGCTTGTCAAGAGATGTGTCATCCTCATTAGAAAGTATTTAAATCAGTTAAAAAAAAAAAAAAAGTAAAAAAAAAAGTCTAAGATCTTAGATGATAGATTTTAAAAATTATTAGTTATCACAAGCTCTCTTGGCAGATGTATAACAGACATTTACAACTCATGAATCACATTTCTCAAAAATCACAGCTAATACCAACTTCTCTGAGGAGATGACAGCATTTACAGGAGACATTAATGACTTCTGGCTCTCAGTCATTGCAAAATCATGAGCTTGTAATTGTTCTGATCTGGCTATTTGTAGACTATAGATTTCTAGAAGCCTCTCAATAGTTCCATCATTAATAACTTGCCAGTGACAGTGATTGCCATTATTCCTACTCAAAGTGATAACTTTAAGATCTTTGTAAATGCAAATCCTTATGAGGCTGGCTTTATTATTCTGGTTTTACAAAATGAAGGGAAGGAGACAGAGGGAGGCACATGAATCTGCAGCTTGAGTCAAGTGCATCTGAGGGTACAGCTGCTTAGTGATTTAGAAAACTTGGCTACAAGTCACCTTCCCCGGGCCATTCTGGGAATGTTTGGCTTGCTCATGATTAGGACTTTCAAGAGTCTCATACCTTAATGATCATGTAATAATATTTTGCTCATATCCATTTCTGGGCAACTTCTGTTAAAAGGTGTTCCATAAATCTTGGGACAAAACCAGCACTGCTGGTTCTGTCTCCCCCTCTGCTGAGACTGAAGTTGGATGAGGTAGATGTGAAGCATGGGAAGATCCTAAGAAGGCTGGGAACTCTCACTCAGTATTGGTCTGGTGGTTCTTGGGCTCTGCCTGGAGCTGGCTTGACTTCTGGAAGCACCCAGCATCAGAGTAGAAGCATGATTTCAGTTTTCCACCTCTCCCCAGGCTCCAGAGTGCAGCTCTTTGCACCCCAGCATTTGCCCTCTCATGTGTATCATGGCTCTTGTCCTCTTCAGGCCTGGCTGTTCTTTGTTTTTCTTGTGCTTTAACTCTCCTCAATACCATGTGTGCAACACCTTAGGCCTGATTGTCAAGAACAAGCAAGCCAGCTGATATATAAATATATATATATATCTATATTCCCTCCTCAGGATGGGGGTGTTTGGGTAACAGGTAAGGCAATACCTGTTTCACTTTGGTCTGTGATTTGGGAAGTGGTGGTAAATTTTTGGAAATGTTTGGGATCTTCTGGAGGGAGATCATCTGTAAATGTACATCTTTGCATCATCAAAATAATGAGTTCAGGTGAGGGGGAGAAAAAAAAAAAACACCTGAAACACTACTGTACAATTTATAGCCTGTCTGAATTTTGTTCTCCTGCTGACAAGCACTTCCTTCTGTTCTCTCTGCAGGTCTCCAGGTGGTTTTAAATTCAATTATCAAGGCCATGGTCCCTTTGTTGCATATTGCCCTGCTGGTGCTGTTTGTCATTATTATCTATGCCATCATTGGACTGGAGTTATTCATGGGGAAGATGCATAAGACCTGCTACCATGTGCAAGGGGGACTGATAGGTAAGGGGAGCACACACAAACACACAAAGATTTTCAGAGGGAGGCTTTTCCCACGTGTAATAGAGCATTTCTGGCACAGGAGATGGGTGGTTGTTGCTCGTTTCTTGTGTACATCTTAGGGGTTTCACAATTTCACTGCAGCAGACTGAGCTACACAGGAGATGGTGTTACAGGAATGAACAACTCATATATTTCATTATTAACCTCATTCACAAATGCATTTTTATTTAAACCAGCATCATTGTAAAGGAATATATAATTCAGGGCATATATAATATATATTATATATATACTATATATAATATATAGTATATCTTTGTTTTTAGTCACAGGCTGCAGCTTCAGTTAGAAGTGCAACCAGAAAGAAAACAAAATTACATTAATGGGAAGAAACTTTTTTACATCAAATCCATCGGGAAATTTATTTATTTCAAATTATTTGCAGAAAGAAAAAGTCACATTTCAAAATAATTCAATTGCACTGTCACTCATCTATCCATCTGTTCATTTTTGTTTGATTTATTGATCTTGAACAGCAGCTATTTCTCATGTGGTAGAGGGTATTAATGCCTAGTACCCAGTTCAGCTCATAAGAAAACAGTGTGCAGCAGAAAATTGTCTCAGAAGTTCTTCATTTTCTGCTTTTCTAATGTTGGCAGATTTCATTTTCTGGGAATGATGCTAGAACCATAATGAACTGTCACTCTGGTTTGCATCTTTAAAGTGGGTGTATTTTTCTCCATTCTGTCTGGAAGTATTTACATTACAGCATTTATTCTGATATTACTGTTTCTGGCATTCTTTCGTGACCAGAATGTGATCATAATTTTGGAAAATTACATTGTTTACCGTATCATAAAATGAGAAATAAACATAATTTCCTGCTCTCCTACACATACATACATACCTGCATCTGTTAAAAATGTAGCACTAAGATCTGAAATCTGTATATTACCAAAAAAAATAAAATAAAATCACATAGCAGAAGTTTTAGTGCCTATAAAAATGTTTTCTGGAGCATTCCTTATATACCAAAACATTTAGTTTGCTTTGTTGTAGGGGTTTTCAGGTCTTTGAAAACACCTGTACAGAACAAGGGGTGGATAATCAAGCAGCAATCTCAGAGTTCGAGTGCCACTGGCCTACGGATAAAATGCCACACATCATCTAAATGCCAAAAGAGCAGGGCTCCAGGCGCCGTGTGCTGTAATTCAGCAGTGGCCCAGTGCCACACCAGCCTGTCTGCAGAGCTCTGAAGCCTGTCTGCTGCAGGGCTCAGCCTCCTTCAGCGCTGCCAGCCTCCAGGATTAACCCCTGCGCCAGGTGACCGCGGTAGGAAACCGCTGGCCATGACCTCGGCCTCATTAAATGGGATGGGCTCCATCTAATGTTCCCTGTCATGCTGAAAGGCATGAGTTCTCCCTCACAGGAAGGTGTGCTTTGGGGGAAAAAAAAAGTTCATCTCAGTTTTGACTACAAAATTTGACAGCTTGGCTATTATTTTTTGCGAAAAGAAAGTGAAGCGCGACAGCGAGCGGTTGCCTGTGTATTCCTGAGAAATCTGCCAAACTCGCTACAAAATACATTTGCTAAAAGCTGATATCCTTCACTTGCTTATCAGTGTGTCAAACTGTTTCCTTCAGCTGTTTTTTTTTATTTCTCCCCCTTCTCTCCAAGATACACCTGCGGAGGACGACCCATCTCCGTGTGCCCCCCAGTCTGCCCACGGGCGGCAGTGTCAGAACGGCACCGAGTGCAAGGCGGGCTGGGAGGGACCTAAGCACGGCATCACCAACTTTGACAATTTTGCTTTTGCCATGCTCACGGTGTTTCAGTGCATCACCATGGAGGGCTGGACGGATGTGCTGTACTGGGTACGTATCCGAAAATGACGGGCTGAGAGCCCTGCTCGTGCTCTGTTGAAACTTGGGGGCTTTAGCTTTCGTGCTTGCTCTCTAGAGTGAAGGCATGGTTGCTAGCATGGAGCTTGAATTAACTCAGCTTACTGTCAGGTATAATGGAGGGGTTATGTGGTGCAATGAAATCAAATGTAAATGTTGACTTTCCATTGATGTTTTAATTTTGAAGGATGGCAGATGGCTTATTGATTTGAAGGTTTGCAATGTTCCTTGGCTGAGCAGAAAGTCATTGAAAGACCCTCTCTGCAGGAGTGAAATATCTCATACATCTCCAGATTACTGATGTAGAAGAATTTGTGACAGACAGCCATGTGCTCTACCTGTGGCATTCGTGTTACAAAGGCACTACACTGATCAGCTCGTAGGTTTTATAAGAAAGGCCTCACAAATTCTAGCAGTACTCTTCATTATGACTTTTGTCATAGAAGAATTATTCTAATGCTATTAGCTCTGATACTGGTATCAATCATGCTTACAAGTTTAGCCAAAACATGATATTATCAATATAAGATGATCTGATATATATATATATGACCATATAAAAATATTATATTAGACAATATATGATATTATTATCATAAATGGAGTCTCATCTTGTCCTGTAGCCTAATTTTGGCCATTTCAGCAGCTTTAGTTTCTACCTTTTAATTCCTAAAGTACTGGGAAATTCATTGCAATACTATAATACCATAGGAGTTAATATCAGGTTTAGCTTTCAGAGGTAAATCCTAGATAAATGTGTTTCTGGATGCAGCTCTGGCCATCAGCTTTTGCAGCAGTATGTTATGAGCTGGGACTTTCATTCACACACAGCACAGGCCTGTCTGTACAAGACTAACCCAGACTTTCACCACCTTGTAAGTCTGGCATGTCATGGCAACCTGGTTCTCCAGATGGTGGGATGTGTTAAAATGCATGATGCAGTTTGACTCCAGAGGGTTCAAAGCACACAAAAGGATAATCTGGACTGAGGCAGCTTGCACTGTTGGTCAACAAGCTTCTCTCTTAAACATGAGCCTGAAGCTGCCTTCTACCCACAAGTGATTTAGAGTTTGCAAGATTTCCCTTTGAAGATTTAGCTTATCTGCAAGGGATGGTCTCTGTGTGGAACAGCTAGAAGTTATCTCTTTATCTTATTAAACTTAGATTAGAAGAGTGACTACAGCTTCCTTTTAATGCCTGAGATAAAGGGCAGAGATCAAACTACAAGGTGAGTCTTGGCACCAGGGGAAAAAAATTGCCATTACTAGAAAAGAGGGTATAAAATATTAAAATAATGAAGAGCAGAAGTTAAAGTCAGAAGAGAAACTGGGTAAAAGTGCTCCACAGTCCAGCTATGGCTATATATAAGATACCTGCCCTTTTAGCACATTTAGCTCACATTTCTCCATGCTGTGTGTGATTGAGAGGATTTATTTACAGGGGAAATGGAAGAGTAAATGATATCAGAAGAAGAAATGAGAATCGCTTTGGCCCTGTATACCATGCAGAATTGTGAAACTTCTCCACAAGTTATCATCATTTTCTCCAAAGACATGTGCTATGAGAGACCCTTCCAGTTCCTACCCTTTACTCGTGTCTAATTTTCATGACTTGATATGAATCATGTTTAACTCATTATCAGTTATCTAATAACTGGAGCCAAAAGCATACACTCACTTCCAAAAGATTTTCCACCATGACTGCGGCAGACAGTCTGATTTTTATGGTGTCCCTGCAGCAAACTGGGTTTTAGTTGTTAGCTTTTGTTTGGTATTCAGCCAGCTTTATTTTTTTCACTGATTTCCTAAGCTATTCTTTCTTTTTTTCTTTAGAGACAGAATGCTGAACTTAGATCTTAAATTAATACAGATTGATGGTCATTATTTTTAGGGGCATGCATATAGTGAGCCTTTTAGATTATGGCATTGTTAGAATGCTTGCTTTGGGAAGAGCAGAAATATTTGTTATCATCAGTTCCCAGTTATTCCTAGACAAGACTACAAAAGATAAGAGTTATCACTGCAGAAAAAAATGTCAGCAATTGACGAGGAGAAGGAAATTTATTTCACAAAGAAAAATGTTTCAAGACCACGAAATACAAAGTTTGAGTAAACACCTGAACACCTGAGCTGGCAGACATTCTTGGTTAAGCTGCTGGAAGCAATCCTAAGAGTACTATTGTCCCATATGACTTTTTCCTCTGTGCTATATTGACAAAGCAGACAGGATCCAGCTCTGATCAGTGTTTGCCACGTGGTAAGGGAGGTGTCTGAGGTGTTTCCTTCTGCAGAGGGGTCTGTGTCGTGCTGGGGGCAGGTGCTGCTTGGGCACCTACTGCAGGGCACACCTAGGAGAAACACTTTTGATTTAATATTCATACATAGAAACAGTCTCTAAATGCTCACACTGTCATTTCATGTAATTTCCCACCATATCTATTGTGGTTTATAGAGTCAGATTTAGAGTCCATGGCAAGGGCATTCCAGCTTAATTTAGCCAGATCAAAGGATGAGAATTGTGGAGAGTAAAGAATAGAAAAGATGCAACATTTCAGTTGCTGAAGGAAGAATTTTAGTAAGTGAGGTAGAGTACAAATATCTATCTTAAACTTACTGTGAGCCACTGTTTCCTTACTGCAGTCTGACTCATACATAACTTTATTTCCTGGTCTTTGCCTTTTTGGCTGAGGAAGAGAGGACTTGTCATAGACAACCCATTGGGAGTTGCATCTCCACAGGGTACAGAGATAGGAAGCTATTCTCTTCTCAGCTCTGAAAGATCTCCTGAAACCACAGTGAGGTCACAAAGATTAAATTTTTCTTTATAAGGAAGTAAATCTGCATAGTTATTTAAATTAGAAATAAAGAGTTTGTTGTCCATTTTACACTGAAAGTACAGATTAAAAAACAGTGTAAGAAAATTTTGGCTGCAAATCGGGCAGTTTTGCAGACAAAAATTTTATGATTTTCAGAGGTCATTTATTAAACTTAAAAATGTGAGTTAATGGGCTAATATTTAAAAGTGCTGAGCTTCCAAAGATCAAGCAGACTATCAAGTTGTTAGTTCCTCTGCAATTCAGGGTAGATAACAAGGTTTGAATCTGGGGTCCTGCTGGGGTCAATGGCAAAATTCTCATTAATTTCAAAAGGTCAGGATCTCACTTTGCATTTTGCAAAATCTTGATCATGCTGTTGAGATTTCTCACATGCAGTCATTGTACAACATGAGGATTTACAGATGCCTAATCAGGGCCTTGGTATCTGTTGAGATTAGTCTTCCAAGGACATACATGTGGATCCAGAGAGTTTTCTTTGCTCCCTTCTTGAATCTGAAAATGTGTGCCTGACCTAAAACTCAGCAGAACAACAGATAAATCTCTTGGCTGGAAACGTTGAGACAATGGAGCAATTCCCTTGCTTGGAACTTTTCTATAAGTGCTTCTCAATTATGACTTCTTACCTAAAAAAAAGCCAAAAAATAAAACCAACCCAACTTTTGAAAGATCTCTGCATTCCTCTCAGTGGGAACGGAGGGAGCTTAGCACATTTCAGCATGCTGCCCTGAAAAATACAGGTTTATTTATTGATGAAACCAACATCTGTCCTGTGCCACAGTTTGCAAGGTTAAAGCTGCATGTTTGAAAGAAAGCTGTGTGACCTTCCACAAGCCCATGTTTCCTAATCCACTTAACAGCTGTTCAAATTTTAACTTCAGTTCCCTGCTTCCTTCTTCATGCTTCCCACTGCAGGCTTTCCACCTGTGTGGGGAAGCCTGTCTCCTCTCTCATGGAGTATTATTTCCCAGCCTGTGATCCACATCCTCACAAAAAGATAGAGACAGGAAAGCAATAAACTTTAATTCCCTAGAAGGACTTGGCATCAATAGGATCAATACATTTTCCAATCTCCTCTCTCTCTCTTTCTTAGAAGATAAGATTTGTGAGTAGATTTGTTTCTTTTGAAATGGAAAAGAAAAATGTTAGGGAAAACAGTTTGACGCTGCTATCATGGAAGGTGGGATAATACTTAAAAAGAGCCAAATTTTTAATGTGAAATAACTATATTGGACAGGATGAAAATCAGTGCAAAACAGCCTTGTTGACTCTTCACTGAAGAATTGATCTTTGTTGAAGGGAGCATTAAGTGTTTGCAGAAACACATCTCCTGTACTGCCTCAGTCTTGCAAGTTTATTTTGTCCCATGCCAGGCAGCTTTCTCTCATGGGCAGTCAGTGCACAGAACCACTGAGTAGACAAGCACCTCTTGTGATTTATCACATTATAACTTTTCCTGTGCATTACAGAAGGGTTTGAGGTTGTTATTCTCAAAACTCTCCTTAATGTGTGGTCAGCCAGCATTAGCAGCTCGCCTGGTGCAGGCACCAAGGCCCATTTCTGAAGACCCATCTGTCATGGAAACTTCCAGCAGCAGATGAAAACCCAAATGTTGCAAACTGAATCATTTGGTATTTTGTAATCAGTCTCTGCTGCAGTCCATTATTTTGTATTTTCTTGTTGACTAAGGAGGAAAATTAATCTCTGAGCAGTTTATAACCTAGTGTTTAAATATTTGTAGGCATTGTTTGTCTTCACTTAATCTTTTCCTAATCTGAGGAGATTCAGTTCTTTCAACCTTCCCTAATGGATCTTCTTTTTAGTTATTTTTAATCGGTTTATTACCGTCCTTCGGGGGAGCTTCATTTCCGAGTTAAATACAATTCGGCCTGTGCCCTGTCTCTAGAAAGGTTTTCATCTCTGTGTGAAATGTGCTCTCTGCAGCTGGAGACCTGTGACACTGCATGCAAATCTGTCCACTGCAGCCTCAGTTTTACATGCCTGGTCTCTCCACTGCCCTGCATTTAAGCAATCGTGCCTATAAATGACAGCAAAGCACAGAAATATTGCCAAACACAACCATATGTTGTTGTACTGGGCTGTTCAAATTGCTGGGTAGTGGAGAACCTGGTCCTGAGTT